TCCTGTTGAATATTAAAATTTTGTAACAATTCTAAAGTATAGCAGTGTAGCACTAGTTATTGCCACCGACAAAATTCGTTCTTTGATCATTTCAACTGCATTATATCTGCATATAGGATATTATGCAGTAGTAGTAGAAATTTTCTTGGGAACCATTTGTTCTAAAGAGGCCATTACTAACACGCACCAAGAGTGATTATATATGGACATGCACTACCAATGCACGCATAATTGTTGACATAATTATTAATTACCAAGAGTGATTATATATGGACATGCATGAAGCGTAGCAGATTGAATGAAGCTCTAGTGGTTATAAAGAGTATCCAATGTTAGTTGATGGTTGATGTGTTGTCCTGCCGTTATAGTACTCCGTATACCCCAGCTGACATGCATGTGTTTTGAATCATTGGTGAGACAGTGCTACCCAATGCCATTTAGGCCTCGTTTAAATTCAGTGCGTAAAGTTTTGGGGTGTCACATCGGGTGTCGTATGGGGGTGTCGCATGGAGTATTCGGATACTAATAAAAAAACAAATTACAGAATCCGTCAGTAATCTATGAGACGAATTTATTAAGCCTAATTAATCCGTTATCAGCACATGTGTTACTGTAGAACCACATTGTCAAATCATGTACTAATTAGGCTTAAAACATTCGTCTCACAAATTAGTCGTAAACTATGCAATTAGTTATTTGTTTAGTCTATATTTATATTCTATGCACGTATCAAACATTCAATGAGATATGAAGTAAACTTTATGAAAAAGAACTAACCAAGACCTTACTATCTGCGTGCATGTGTGCACGCAGAGATAACTGACCCTAATAAGCCCGTGTCCTAATGATATATAGGAATATAGGACAGGGACCTCCACCTAGAAGTTAAGATTATCTGATTGGACTGGAAGCTAGCGCGGCGCTGGATCAAGACGGCCAGGGAGAGACGTCCCAATCCGGCCTTTGATCATGCGCAGCCTTGTGCGACATTGTATCTGACTTGCATGCATCCATGTACTTGTTGCGAAATGCAAATTCAAGGGCCCTACGCAAGACCGGATAGCTGCTAGTCTAACTAAGGCGCTGTAAGGCTCACTTATATTATGCATGGTCACTTATTGGAACACAGAACATTTTTACATAAGTTCGTTCATTTTTACAGGAAAACATAGAAACAGAAAAAAAAATCCAGTATTTCAAAGAGGCTTTTTGGTTAGTTAAGACTAGGACTAACAACTAGTTCTGTTAACTTATATCTATACACTAATGGACTAATAACTAGTCCATAACTAGTAGACTAACAATTAGCTTGTCTGTTTAAATTCTTATATATAGGGGATAAAAATTAGCAAACTAGTTGTTAGTCCTATGAATTCAAATAGGACCTTTAGTATCTTTTTCTACCCAAGAGAAGCATTTTCTTCAAATTAGATGTAAAAGGTGTCTCTTTTTATCTTCATCATAAATAAATTTTGTTATGATATTATCATGATGCCAGCGGTCAGGATCCGAGCACCCGGCCATCTTCGACTTTCAACTGACAAAGCCATATGTCACAAGGTGTAGATGGAGCTACCTTTTGTAGCTAAGTAGAGGTGGGACTAGCTAGTTAGGGGACACTAGAGGTTTACCTTACCTTATCTTATTAGCAGCCTGGTCGCTCGTTGGTTTCAGCCAGGGCTTATCAGCCGGCCAACAGTGTTTTCCTCTCACAACAAACCAGCACCAGCCGGACTTATCAGCCCAGAAACCAACCAACGAACAAGCTGCAGTTCTCATCATGCCGCTACCCAGATCCACCAGATCTCTAATCTCTAATGCCCATCAGTCACGTCGCATTGTTATTAGATTACTATGGAAATCCAATGTGATTTCTACGCTCCAAAATAATGGGTGCTTATGGATTTTACTTATTATATATTGCGACAATTGTGACCAATAATAATAATGCGACACGCCATATCCCAGTGCAATAATCTAGATTATTGATCGATCAGAGCATCCGGCCACTAAAGAAAATAAAGCCTAAAGGATTGATGAAAAGAGAAAAAAAAATGAAGTGCATGCACAGCAATGGTGCACTATTATCCAGTGACTGGTGTCATCGTCATATCCGTCGACGTGACTGATGCACGTACCTGAATTCAATCACCGACCAAAACGAACCATGCATCATGATATTCGGCCATTAGCCTTAGGAATTTGGTAGTTGTGTCCATGGGTTATGTAATCGTAATACCTTGGTTCATTAGTGTTCTGGTTCAACCTGTTCTAGCATGTGTTCTGTTCTTATAGAATTAATCCTAACTTGAGACAACATGTTCGGGTCAACATATAATCCTTGTCATTACATGGGTAGTACCTTCGGATTTAATCTTTTGTATAAAGCAATCATGGATGTTTAAGAGAGATACACATACAAACTAGTTCTATGTGGGAACTGGGTTCGTAAGCAGATTTATAGCTGGACGACCCCTCCTTAATCCTGATTCCTTTTACAAAAAATTGAAATCAGCGAGTGATTCAGGCATATATTGTTCGGTGGTGAAGGTAGCTGGTGGGTTCTGATTTGCTATTTAAATTTAGAACATGAGCCCACCACTTAGAGCCAAGTAGTTTATTTACATTTGGTGAATTAGCCTCTCGATCGAGCAAAATTCCCGTATCAATAGACGATAAATAAACCCTAGCCTCTTGAATCTATAGATGTACTCTTTCATAAAAGCTGAGATCAAACATTTGCAGGTACGTCATCATTATCGATCACGATTATTATTGGTAAATAAGCCTATTATTCCACTCCAGCAAAACAACAAACTCTGCATTCTATGGTTGGGGTCCCAAGTCGTCCCTTGATATTCTGGAGAAGGCGATGCACTTGTATGCTGATCCGACTTGTCAACAAAAAATATGTATTCAAACTTGCGTATTCCACCGCCAGATTGACAGATGGAGTGCATTTAGACCAAACAAGTCCCTGCCTCCTTCCAAACAAAGAACTGTAGTCTGTAGGTGCAGTGACAATATAGGATATAATATTTAAGTATGTTCATCCTTTGAAACAGCCAGCCAGAGAGCGATAGGGCAACCACCATATCTTCAATTACAATTTGTAACGGTGCAAATGCTAATTAAACGTAGCTCTAGTTAGGTTTCTTGTGTTAGAACCTGTCCTAGCTATTTTCTTAGATTTATTCTGTGGTGACAACGTCTGTGTTCGCATTGTACAGCAATTAGCTATTTTCTATTCTTCCAGTGATAAGTAATGTGCTCTTGAGAGTTTTGCAAAAGAAAAAGGTGCCAATAGACATCACAAATGGTACACCACACGGTACCGCTGACAGATGAAAACCATAGCACACATGAATACATGATATACATATCTACATCTCGCCGTTCCAAATCCATCGTCATCTAATCCAATCCAAGTGAACTTTTCCAAGTCTTGTTCTCTTTTTCATTCTGGATCATACATCACTGTTACGCGTGCGTGCTCATATGATTCAATCGACGGCGACTCTAAACCTCCACACCACTACAGTGCGCAACCCGGGCCAGCATGGCAGTGACCGTCGATGTCGGTTTCATCACAGATATCATCCTCACCCATCCCATGCCCAACATTTTTTTTCTTCAAGAAACGACATTATGCACTATTGGTGTCACCTTGGCCTCGATCCCACACTGAGAACGACATTTGTGCGGTGTAGCTAGGTCCTATGGGGGACCTCCCTCCGTAGACGCCATGGAAAGTTGGACAACCTACAAGGCCAACCGCCAACCAAAACAGGTGCACGCCGAGGAGAGGAGTGCGCACAGATCCCAGGCGAAAGGCGCAAGGTCTTGTAGTCTTCTGCACGAGCCAGCCAAGCCTGGTCCACACGCATGCATTTAAGCGTTTCATTCAAGCCGGTCAGAGGTGTCACCAAGTCCAAGTCGGCACAAGTCGGCAAGTCACGCGCCCTGTTCTTTTGGCATATAAGCGTAATTTTTCAGCTAACAAACAGAGTCTCTCTCACAACAAACCAACCAACAGTACTTTCAGTCATGGCTTATCAGTCAAACGAACAGGACAACCATAGTTAACCAATGCCAGGAAGAGAACGAGCTCAACTGCCCATGATCACGATGGTCCATGTCCGTGTCTCGTAATTAATATCTCAAGGATAGCTTATGTCAGACATGAGACATGAGACACGAGACATGAGACAACAACGACTGGCATTTTCAGTAGGAGTTATTTCGAGAATCTGGAGGATGATCCATCAAGTAATGTCTCTAGTCTACGTTTCAGAAGCATACATGCTTCTGAAACTGATACATGTAAGGTTGCTGTCTCTTGCGGTATTATCACTCGCTCCTTTCACAATATTTGTCTGACACTGATACACGTACCTAGACGGCATAATATCTGAGTAATACTTAATAAAATCCAAGTAAATTTGCGCTCTTTGGATAATTATATAGTAGCTATATTTTATCGAAAACAATAAAGAATCACTTAATTTGGTAAGAAAAAAAATTACATACCTTTGCCTCCTAAGTATGCAGACCGGACAGATATTGTGAAAACCGAGGTGGCACCTCGTACAACATTTTGATTTACTCAGCAACACATACAGTACAGCTATACACTTGACCTTCAAAACTTTACAAGCCTGAAGCCTCAGCCTAAGACAGGAGGAATAGCTTAAATCTTGGGGAAAAGAATTAAAGAATGCTACCATACATTCAACACCTACAAGATCTTACTGTAAGTTGTTCTGGTTTACTACATCAGGGGGCTAATTTACACAACTTCTGATATACATCTGTACAGATCGTTGTTGGGGTATAAGCCTCGTTAAACACCAAGCGCTTCATCAATCCAACTTTGCACCACGGAAATACAATTGCAAAGCCTTTGTGTTTCAGTAACTCACCGTGGAGCAATGCAAGTGGGTTCAAAACTGTTACGATTCTCTCTGAAGTAGCATGTTTTATCCTGACAGTCTCTTGGGTCAGAGTTGGTATGTGAATGAGGCCTGCTCTTTGCGGCCTTTCTCATGTATGTCGTCTATTAGCTGGCGAAGCTCTGGGAAGACTGTCACAAGGACCTGCTCTAGCATTGCATATGCGAGCTGCTTGATACAGACGTTGGACTGCAGCACATCGTTAATGTTGTGGAGATCAGAATGATGTCTCATCTTAGAGCTTAGATTACAGGGATTTTGAGTTTTACTTACTTGGAGGAAGTAGTACATGTCCCTTGCGCTGCGTCGGTACTGCTTGTATCCAATTATGCTGACCAAGGTCGATGGAGTTCCATCTGAAAGGGCATTGCAATTTGCAAGTCATTATTTTCACTTTCGAGAGGAGCAAATTATGTTAGTTAAATGGCATGGTACTGAAGGCATGTGATAGACAGATATAAACTTAAGGTAACGGCTCAACTTCTAGATGTGTTTCCTAAGTGGTGCCTTTCTTAGGAAGTCTGGAAGAAAATACAGCAATGATGTTTTCCTTTTTTACTTCTAAGTGAGCCCATTGAAAGCAATGAAGACATCACCTATGGATCAGATATTCAGAGTTATTACTGCTGCACACACAAACAGAACTAGCATGCTCGTACACTACATATAGTCATGTAGAGTCGCAAACATACATCATCCTAACATCTTCAGGAGAAAAACATAAATAGAAAGACAAAAAAAATGCCATGTGCCCGAAACAGTCAATAGACTAACCTAAAAGAAGCTTTTTGACCTCACTGGCATTTCTGGATGCCTCAAGCTGAAGTTCAAAAGAGCTTGTGCTCTTTTTGTTGCCAACAGCCTGGTTGGGACTCCAAAATGACTGCTTGTCAAATTGACTTGTGCCTGCATTCCCCTTATATCCATCCAACTTGGTGAAGAATATACCGTTTGGCCAAAGGGTCTGTAAATAAGAAATCCATTAGTTGCACAGAAAAAGAAGACAAAGTTGGAATCCATTACTTCTGTAATAATACCTATAAACCACAAAGGATAAAGAAACTATTGAGATGCACATATTACAAAGATAGATCCATGTGAAACTTTATGCGTTTGGAACAATTCTTCACATGATTTGCCCAATCACACAATTAGAAGTACCAGGGATCTGAATCAAGCATTGCTGATTGGTGGAGAAAAGCAGGTCAGTCACATTGACAAAGCTCAAAGGAAGGGATTTAATAGCGTTGTGACTTTGGGGGGCCTGGATTTTATGGACTCACAGGAGCTAATATGTTTTCTATGGCATCTCCCCTCCTTACAAGTTGCACAGCAATTCTTCAAGGAAGAGTTGAGACTTTGGGGGTGATGCCGGAGCCAAAAAGCTCGAAGAACTGGGCCTAGGTCGTGATGAGGGCTAGCTGCATATTCTTTATATGGTCATTATCCTAGTTTGCTTGGGCGATTTTTTTTTCAGTGTTACAACCCCTCTGATCTCTAGTGGAGTTAGAGTGGTTACTTTTAAGGGTCTTTTAAGGGATCATTTCCTAAGATACACAGCTCACCTCACCTGCACGTTCGAGAAAAAAAAAGTAGTGCCACAGAGGCATCAAGAGAAATATCAAATTTTAAACTAAAACTTAAAAGAGAACCAAGATAAATCCAGTGAAGGAAAAAATGAGGGGATAATGTCCTTACATCTTGAATCCAACGTATTCCCTGTACAATGACATCTTCTCTTCGTAGCCAATTGATTTGTCTTATGATCCATTCATCGATTGCATCTTCCATGACCAACTGCAAAATTTGTTTTGATATCCAAAGAACCTGTCTCCTGCAGATTCCGTAACATATCAAGTAAAACATCATGTTTTGTAATTGAAAGATAGAAACGGCTGGATTGCAGAAGTGATTAAGTTGTAGGATTGAAGCATGGATGGTGAAAATAAAAGTGGTCTGTGCATGGCTATAAACATGAAAAAAATGACGATAGCCCACCCAAATTTTATTATCATCTAAACAAACATCAGTCGCCCACGAGCTGCCGCAAACCTACTTGACGCGACCTAGGGTTAAGCCTTTTACATCTCGGCTTACCTTTGTTATTTAAAACTAAAATATGAAATAAATTTGGAACTAAAATATGAAACAAATTTGGACTGCAACTATGTCCTCCTGGATCCCACGGGAAGAGCCGAACCGCTGGCTTCATGTCGGATGAAGGCTGGAGGATGTACCAGCCCACTCTTACACTGGATCTGTCAAGCACCAAGGCGGGTGCTAGAACAAATGAGACGGCCACCGCCGTCGATGCTTGTTGTTGGGCTTCTTGTTGGGTGGCGCTGGTCGTTCGCTGCACCGGAAGGCCCCATCCTTGGACCTCCACTTCAATTGGAGCCACAGGATGTATGGGCGAGCCCGAGTGGCTGAACGCAAACTGCAGCGACGAGCTGAGCAGCATGCGCATCTTCCGCACCACCCGCCGGACAAGGAAACCTCGCCCTGCTGCTTGCAGGCGCACTGCTGCCTGCTCCTCTGATGATGGCCACGTGATGGACCTGGAGATAACAGCCAGACGCTTCTCCCCACGGAGAGACTGCACCCGCCGGCATGCCAGGAGTCCCCTTGCGGCTGCCTGTAGGCGTACTGCCGCCAGGCGTTCACGTTCCTCCTTCGCCTTAAGCAATGCCTTTAGGCGATCCAGCAGTGTGGACATATCAGCAAGGATGCGTAAGGTGTTGTCGGCAGCAGGGGACACATGATGGAGCAGGTTGGAGCATGGGGGCGATCCGAAGCGCAGGTGCAGCAGCTCGGTGAAGCGGCGCCACGCTGGGGTGCCCTCATCCTGCAGGACTTGGCGGAACCACATTGGGCGCCATCTTTCAAATTACGGGAGGCCACCCATGCTTTTTCTTCCTCCATGATGCGTTGCTGGAGGAAGTAGGACTCGCATTGGTTGATGAAGGGCAGAGGATCAGATTTCCCATCAAAGTTAGGAAAAATCCATCGAGGCGTCGGCGGCTGAGGCGTGGGCACGGTGAAGTTTAGTGGCGGGGTGGTGGCGATGAGGATCGCCTGGCTCTGAATACCAGATGTTATGGACCTTAGTTCATTTGGGATAAGAGATAACCATTGCCAGGAGACTAGAGCATTTGGGGAATTGGATTCAGGGCGAGGTTTTACCCTCTAAGCCCTGTTGTTGAAGAAGGGAATTGGGAGATAGGAATATTGTTCTTGCTTCCTTCCAAGCTGAGTGCACTACAAAGGATAAATAGGCTCACGGCCACTAGCAACCTGGAGATGCCTGCTGCATGCGCGGCTGAGATTGAAACCCTCCTAAATGCTAGGTTTGACTACACTTGCTGCATGCGAAACTTCCTAAATGCTAGGCTTGACTGAAGCCTCTCCACTAAGGCATGTGGTCATGATCTGGCCATGGTGACCGGCGCCCTCCTGGTGCCCCACATGACAGAATATACTGCCAAAATACATGAAATGGGAACCATATGTTGATATCTAGTAACCATTCCAATCAGGCCAATTAAATGCCTTTGGGTCACAAGTTTCTACAGTATTATAGTGTATCATTCACTTAGGCCTTGTTTGGAATGGAGGAAGTTTAAAGGAATGCCAAACCGTTGTTTTGTTGACGTCGCTATGCGTTTGGTTTGGAGGAATCGGCAAAGAACTTTCCATAGGAACAGTGGAGAAGCATGTACTTTTGTAGGAAACCAAATATGAGCTCCGAGTCAATGGAAAGCTTTCCTGTGGCCACTGTAGCTTCGCTCGCTCTCTGAACATGCTTATATTGCTAATCTAGCCTTAACAGCGAGGCAACATTCAGCTTCCTGTTTGAGCCCCATGGCACACAAAAGAAAAGTTTTGTCCGCTTGGTAGGTATGGCTTTCTCTCTCTAGTTTATATACTAAAAATGATGTTCTGAACTATATTTTCTTAAGGATTTGATTAGTATAAAAAAAGTTAATATTGCAATCAAGTTTGAAAGTTTACTATGCTGTTTTCATTCCTGCATTCCAAACACCTATCTTGAAAAATTCCTATGTTTTTTCATTCCTCTATTTTGCAACTACTTTCCTTTCCTATACCTGTGTTTTCTCTCCTTCCTGTGTTTTCTATTCCTTTGTTCCAAACAGGCGCTTAATTTGTTACTATGTAACAGTGGTCTGAAACTAGTAAGCAAATTCTGAGGAACAAATTTGATAAAGTTCATTATAAAGGAACTAACCGTATCCAACCCCGTCGCTTTAGCTGGAATACCTTGTCAACCAGGTTCAATAAAGGCACACTAACATTTGTTGGCATCCACTGCCAAAATAGAAGAGAAGGTTTATCAGTAAAAGGAAAAACAGTAAGAACAACCAGTCCCTATGATCTGCATCAAATAAATTATGTAGTTGCAGGGTGTGGTGTACCTCAGGAGGAATTCCTGTTGGATCCTCGTATGTATTTAGAGATGACATGTTTGAAGAATCAGAATATGCCCTTGTAGGTTTTCCTATTTGGTCACTGGCTTGTTTATCCAAACTGGAGTATGTTTTGATGTGCTTAACATCATTTGAAGTATGGCCTCTATTATTGACCTCATTGTCTGAATGGCATCCACTATTCATAGATGAGGTGTGATCTTCGTAGTTACTATCACCATCTGAAAGGCTATGAGCACTTTCCAAGCTTCTTTGATGCAAGTTGTGGTTATCTTTCTCTTCCTGGTTCCAAGATAGAGACATCCTATTATCTGCAAATTGGGCAGTTGCGCTAGAAGGTGATGTGCCGACCGCCCGTTTCAAACCATCTGAAACTCCTTTAAATTGTCGAACAATGTCATCCATTGCATCATCAACATTAACTGTTTTAAAACAAATAAATGTCTTTAAGAAATGAACATAGCAAGTTATAGCTTTTAAGGGGGGAAAACAAGTGTGGGGACATGCATACCAGCCAAGGTTTTCATAACAGAGGTGGACTTTCCAGCAGAGTAATTCTACAAAATGGAAAAGAAATGAAGTGCTAAAAACCTCAAGAAAGCACTGAATGAAGATGTGTGCATTCCTTATCATTAAGGACAAAGCTATAAGGATTTGCTTGGTGTAAATCACACACCTTTGAGGATGCACTCAGGAAATCCCAAACTTCATGCTGTTCTGCAATATTAGCTATAGACAAGAGATCCTATTGAACACAAAATTAATATTATAAACACATTTGAAGTAAAAGATGAGCAAAAATGCTAGAGAACCAATCATACTTGAAGATATTTGTCCAGGAGAATGCATCGTTGGTGCACAAGGTAATCATCAACACTAGACGAAAGAAAACTCTTTGGAGGCAGATGTAATGAATAATTAGGTATCTCCTTCAGTTGTCGATGAAGACGTTCAAAATTCCGGTATCTACAAATAGAAGCTATAGGTCAGGATCATACAAGTTCCTCTCTCGAAGCTGCAATTAATGTACAAATATGCCAAGTAAAACCATGCCTTCTTTTCACAAACCAGGCCTTGTTATCCGCATCAGTCACCGCGATAGAATAAACTGCAAAAGATTTTGAACCTAGTTTCTCAAAATATGCACCAACAACCTGCAAAGAAATAAAGAACCCAACAAATCACATCAGCTGTGGAGAATGACATTACTTCACATCAATAGATGTATATTGTATCAAGAACAAGAGAACTGATGGTGACATTCATCGCTAGGCCTGATATAATGTAGTCATGCAGGAATGGAAACTGTTAGAAATTAATTACTAATTATCAGACCGAATCACCACAGAATACCAATTTTTCCCCATATGACGCTGAATAACTTCATATGTTCAATGTATGCCACTCACTGACATAGTGACATGTGGGCTGGGCCTCACACACCAGCCTTACAATGAGTGCCACATTGTGGATCATGCATGTAGTCATTCAGTGGAATCTTATGTATTTCTCATAATGAGGACTAGATACAAATTAAGCACAGGATTCTACAGATCTGATTCTAATCGGACACCAAGTACTAAATCGTAAAACCAATGGAAACCATGGAATCCAAGTGCTAATCAGAAAATGTGGAATAGTATAAAAACGAAGAGATATTCCCATAGTTTAGATTACTTATGGAAGAATGAAAACCGAACATATATGGCAGGTAATACAAGACTGAAGCTAGTGATTGATTTCTAGGAGTAGAAAGGCACAGCTTAAGGCGCGAGTGAAATGCAAACCCCATGCCCATAAATATTTTAAAACCACTGCCCATAAAGAGAATAATAAAATAACAGCAACATGCAACACAACAAAATCAGAGATCAATTTGCCAACTGTTACAAACTTCTGAAACTTATCTCACAAGAGATGATCCTAATGGCATAATTCTTAATAATAAAATTTCACAAGAAACTGTGGTGAATAATAGCAACATAACCCTGACCAGGTTGGTTAAATTTATTCAATTAATCCAATTGATCAAATTTATTCAGTAAAAGCCAGCAACTTGATGCTTGTGGTTAAGATGATGATACTGGAATTGTTCTAGTGATAGGATTAGAAAACAATTACCCGGCATCTTATCTTCGGAACATGCATTAGCACCTCAACATGTGAGGCAGGACCGGCACCTCTCTCATCCTGATTTTTCCTCACATTTAGCATTTCACTGGGAACCATGGGCTGGTTACTTTTTGCCAAATATCTTTTCTCAATATCAGGAGTACTATTAGATCGTTTTAGTTGAGCTTTTACACTGTTGCTGGTTTCATGTGGTTTCTCCTTGCTGCTGAAATGAACTTGACTCCCCTCTTTTGGTTTCACTTCATTCGTATTTTGTAGAGCAAGTGGATGACTACCTGTGACGAAAGTAGATTGAGCATTCCTATTTTTACTTTGCATCAAATTGACCATGTATTTATCATCAACAGATGCAATTCTCTCGTTGAAGTTAGAGGATAGCTCTTTAGCCACTGCCCCTGCACTTGGACTGTTATCTGAACCTCCAGAACCTTTCAACCTAGATGATTGGTCTACTTTAATCATTTTCTTTTGATAATTTCTTCCGATTGCCCACATGTTCTCAAGATTCTCAGGGGCAAGAACCTCTGACCTCCTTTTAGTAGCTGCGTCCAATACCACAGCCCAGTCTGGCTGCCGAGGTTGGATGGTACTGTCATTGTCATCCTCTGACACTTTCGACTTTCCACATTCAGAAGTAACAAGTGACCTCATCCCAGAATTATTTGGTGGAACTAAGCTGCTAGGTTCTACAGTCAAATTCCTTGATTCCGTTTGACAACCTTGTGAACCTCCTTTGTAAGGCACTACTTCCGTATTAGCCATGTTTGTATTTCCTCCAACATTACCTGTATCTTTGTTGTTTAGAAGGTAGACAATCAACTCGTTGATGTAGCTGAAACAAAAACAAACAAACAACAAATAAAAATTTGGAACAAAGCTTAGGCGCAGGTAAAGGCGGAAACTAAAATTGGATTACTTAAATTACAGTTAAGCAGCCCATAGACTGCTTGAAGCCTATATATTGCCATAAATCAGCCGTTTTAGCAGACAACTTACACAGGGCTTGCGAAGTTCATAACAGGCTGCAAGACTAGGCACGTCATCAGTTCCCTGGAGAAACAGCGAACTAGTGGACTCTGTGCATCTTGTGGTCTCAAAACTAGAGCCATAATGCCCCCAACGATTTCTTGAAGAACCTAAAATCCGTATTAATTAATGGCTGTATTATTGTATAACATGAAAGCTAAAATGGTTAGCTATTACCTTGTACTCATGCTCTGAAGATAACAGTGCTGGATGAAGTTCCTGTGAAACTATTAGGTGCTGCTTCAGTCTCTCATCTCTTTCCTCTGAAGACAAAGTCCTCATGACATCAACACCAATTAGAGTTTGGTTTTTCGGAAAATATCTAAATGGTTACCAATCAAATCAACCATATCCCTGAAATAGGAAAAAAAAAAAAACTTTAACATAGAATAATTACTCAATAATGATGGTATGTACTAGATAGTATATCAAGCATTTAGTCACCTTGTTAGCATGTCAACTAGATTCATCTCTTTCACCCTGCCTGATACTTCACCAAGAGCGTGAAGTACTAAGCCACGTATCAGTTCTGGGGCCTCTCTGTCAGGAGTAATATCTGAATACCACAAGTCTAAAACAAAGTCTCGCAAAATATTCTCAATGAAACTTTCAAAAGCAGCCTCAACAGAAGGTGAACCAACTTTCCTTCTCCATCTGGAGACTGGTGGTACAGTCGAAAAGGCGATGATCATTTGCAGACAACTGCCTCTTTGAGGCTTGAGACAAATATGTCTGCTTACGTACAGGCTGTTCCCTCCAACGGAACTCCACTTTGAAGGAGAGATACGGAGAAATGCAAGTATAAGGATTGACATGGGCACATTTGTCCACATTGATTTACTTGTATCTATTTGAAACAAAATGATATGGATCTTAGCATGGATACAGGTGACTGGACTATATATTGAAGAAGAAATATACTGCGTATACAAACATAAAGAAACCTCTGTGCAAAAAAATGAGTCCATAATAAGGGTTGAAAGATAAATAATTACTAAGTGTTTAAAGGATGCCAACACATTCACAGAGCAGAAAGTGAAACAACAAAAAAGAAAGGAAGGAAAGAAGGCTATTTTGACAAGTAAAAAGATCAGAGAAAAATATATGCATGCTTAATTCAAAATATAATAAATAAATAAATTTGTACATGACTCAATAGTGACTTATTTCACTTCCATTTCCACCCCTGTGAAGGTAAAATGTTAATTCATCTGAAGCTACTTATCCACTGACAACTAGCCAATTACTTCAGAAATGGTTCACAAGTGGTGGGACTATAGGCAATTATATTTCTGCAAGCTAACTCACCAATATCTAAACAATAGACAAGCAAAAACTAACTCACATCTCTCACTAGATTCCCTTTGCCTTCATCTTTTGATATCATGAAGGCTCAAGAAATCATTATAGTATCGTGAATGAACTCTGAGCCAAGTTGAGTACAAGACAAAGAAGGGATACTCATTATATGATTCATCAGGACACAAACTAGTTGCTGTTTACATTTGTGTTCAACCATTACTTCAATCACATCCAGGTACCAAACAAATTTCCTGCATCATTTCCTTTTTGAATAAAATCACAACTCGCCAGCAGTCACTAAAGCTAAAAATCTCTGAAGCATCAAGGCATAAAACTATTCATAACACAATTTATAGCTTGAAAGAGGAATTCCCTAGACCTCACACTGCAGGTAGACAACAAAGAAATGTGTAACACAAAACTCATCTTCAACCCCAGAGTACAGGAAAATTTCAAAATTTGGTATCTGAGTGATTATGGCTTGGAATTTACACTCAAACTGTACCTCACCTCAGGGCAGAATGAACATCACTCTCTTTTCAAGCTTCCAAGAGCTAATGCCAAAACCTCTGCTACATATTCGGCACGTTTTAATAACCACTAAAACATCTATCTTTTGCACCAGACCATCCAGAAGCCCTCTATCCACAACGAAATTCTCAGGAAACCCTAGATTACACTTCCCATCTCCAGCAGTTTCATAAATAATGCATGCAAAAAGTTCCTAAATGAAATTAATTAAGGATCCTAAAATTCGGATTTTCGGGATCTCAAGCAAATCCAGCAATCTTTCTTAGTAACTGTAACCGAAAAGTAGTAGTAGTAGTAACTAAATAGAATGCAGGCAGTAAAGCAGTAGCTAACATCCAAAAAAATGCCACGTAACAGGCATTACAGGTCACTACCGGATAGATTCAGGAGCTATCAGATGGTCTGACGACAAGCTCTAGCTGCCCGGCTAACAAAAGGTCTCAAGTTTTGTAACGCATGAGCCATCAAATCACATCGCAATCCCAGCATGCACAGCATCAGTTACCCAAAATCTCTCACACCTATGCTGTGTTCCGCAGATAAACACGGAGAGGCAAGGTAGTCGCTACCGAACCAATCTAATCCCTCGTCTGGGCGATGCTGCGGAACATTTGTATTGCGTCGGAGGGAAACCAATTCGGTCGCATATGAGATACGAAAGCAGAGAGAGAGTGGGCGTGCTCACGCGTGAGGACGTAGGAGATGGCGAAGATGCAGAGCGCCCACCAGACGGTGCGCAGCTTGGCCTCCTCGATCAGATCATCGACGCTCTCCATCCTCTTCCGCATCTCGGCCTGCACGCGCGCGCGCGCCGCGGCGCGCCGCGGCCCGTGGGAGGCGGAGGGGGGCTCCGGTGGGATCGAGTCGGATGCGGAATCCCCCAACCCAAAGGGCTCCGCCATCGCCGGAGAAGAAGGCCAGGCCGGGCGGTGCCGGCGGCGACTCGTCTCCACGGCGATTTTTATTTCTGGGATTATTTTGTCTTTTTTGGGATTTTCTTTGAAAATCTGTATAAAAACGTGCCCGGGTCGAATCGAACCAGCCTTTGTGTTCTGTTGTAGGGCCCACGCTAGCGGATGCGTGTAGGCGAATGCCATGTGGGTCCCAGTCGCCTGCTGGGATGCCTCTGCCACGTTGCACGCTGACGAGTGGGTCCTTCCTGTGACTGTTTCGGCCGTTGGATCGGAAAGAAACGGCCATCCGGCCGTGTCGATCTGCGGGACAGCGGGACTCCCCCTCCGCGGGTGACGGGGCCGCGCGCTTGGAAGTGGTGGGACCGTCATGTCAGTGCGTGGGATGCTGGAGTGGCTGGTTTAACGGTCAATAACGATAATCATGCCTGCCGCCGACATGTGGGCCGATGATTGCGGACAGGCGATGATACTAGAACTAGAACGGAGGACAGGACAGCTAGATTGTGGCGTGGATTCACATGAATCCAGAGAAAAGAACAACTTTTTATATTTTCTTATACTACAATTCAGGGTTCGTAAGTATATTTGTTTTCGCACGAGAAAGCAGCCTTTACAGTGGTGAATCTAGCAAAATGGGTCATCAGGGTCAACATATAAAGAAGATTGAGTTACATTATGTGATACTACTTGTGTACAATTCAGGGTTCGTAACATGCATTGTTTAGGTTTCAAACGGAACACATTCCGTGCATAGTATGGAGTATAAATTTGGGTTGCCATGTTTTGTTCCCATGTGGCATTCCATGTACAAGACCATAGGATTCTGAACAATAACATTATCATTTGAAAAAATGTTATGCAAAAAGTAGAGCGTCAACCATGTTGAACTTAAAAGATGGAAGCATCTAGGGTGTTGTTTCTCACAGTTCTGATTCTAGTATTAGGTCTATTTGGTAGTGCTCCCTCAGCTCCACTCTATGCGACAATTCAAGGACATAGGTGGAGCTAGAGTAAATGAAAGGAGGTGCCACACTTCATAACTCCTTTGTCGCTAGCTAATATATAGGTGAAATTCTAAAAGTAACAATATAGTTTTGGTTTTATCATGTGTGCCACCACACCCGCAAGCAATAATATAGATCCGCCCTTTGTTGGAGGAGTGTTGTTTTAACGTCGCGGGATGAGTGGGGAAAAAAACCCCGCTCCCCATGCTCTCCTCCTGATTCACCGCTCCTTGATGCACTACACTCCAACCACTACACATCCTTCATCGACCATATTGTCCCTCTAATGCCCAGGCCTGCCCTTCTAACACGCCTACTAATCTAATTGATAGACTAATATACTGACTTGACTTTCGTGTCTCGTCTATCTCATCATCTCTGTCTTTCACACACCAATAATTCCTCCTCACTTCTCATCTATCTAATCCTCCCTCCCTCTCTCTATTTCAAATCAATCCATGGTTAATTTTGGAAAGGCCAAGGTATGCCCGGCTTGGGCGATTTGTCGTTTGGGAGCTATGAAAAGAGCGGAATGCAAGCGTCTGTCAACGACGACATTTGAGTCTAGAGTCTCTAATTGCGAAAATCAAGGAAGAGGTGATAACATGGAGTTTAGCGAGAGCAAAGCGGCGAGAGGCAAATCAATGGATCATTAATTCTTAACTATGGGGTAGCCTAGTGCTGCTTAGTGCTTTGGCACCTTTTTTCTTAGTTTTGTAAATTTGTAAATACACTTGGTGCTTTTCCTCTTCTATATTAATATTAGTTTGCGATCAACTAAGAGCGGTGCATTGAAAGGACACCTATTTCTCTAGTAGGGAAATGTGTGAAAGAGAGAAAGGCGATCGATAGATGAGTGCTTAGGAGAGAATTGTTGGTGCATGAAAATATCAAATCATTAGGATAGTTTGGCCCAAGCAAGTTCATTACCACTTTTGGTTAAACACCGCGTGATTCGATTTAACCAAAAGTGGTAATGAAGAAGGGTGCCGTGCCCACGTTCACGTGCTCCAAACTTCATGAGCACCCACGTTGTGCATTTTTGTTGGAATCTACCGTTACCCTCTCTTCCGTTACAGATTCTTGAAAAAACCGGTAGCCATGGTACTACACTCAGTTTTTTTTAAAAGCGGCACTTATGAGACTTATCCTTATGATCGATTGTTTCTTAAATCCGAGTGGTGATACTATTTTTCTTTTGAACAAGCCGTAACAATCCCCTTTTTTTTTTTTTAAATAGTAGTAACGATGGTCGTGATGGAACCTTGTTTTTTTGTGTGTATAACAATGCCGTATTTTTTTACTAGTAAACATGTATAATTTACGATAATGATATGATGAGGATGTCCGTCCCGTGACTCCCATCCGGACGCGCTCCCGTAAAAAAAATCCTTGTCCGCTCGTTTCACTTCCCGCGGCGCCTCCATCCCGGGCATCCCCCGCGGCGCCTCCGTCCGTCGCCGGTTGCTGCGCATGCCGCCAACACCTTCTTCCCATTCCCCACCCGTCCAGAGCTCACCGGCATCCGCTTGTACCTGTGGCAGGCCCCTTCATCTCCACTCTCGCCTGGCCAGAGCCCGCTGGCGGCCTACTGTTGGGATTATGCCCTAGAGATAATCATAGTGATGATTGTATTGCCTTGTATTCATGATATATTATGAGTTCAATTGAATATCCATTAAAGACAACTTGTATCGATTGGCAATTATGTGAATTGTTTGTAAAACTCTTTTACTTGTATGGTTATTCCAAAGTTGTCCCTGATCAGAGTTCTTGTGAGGACACACATGAATATTAGATCAGCACATTATTAGTTGTTGACTATGTTTCACAAGTCATAGACATGGAGATGTCAAACTAATAATGTGGGCACATGTATGACATGGGGCTGGACAGACCCAACGTGAGATGTTCTTATTGTCTCTTTACACATCATATACGTTATGTCCTTAGACCTGAGATTGTTGTATGTACTCAAGATGTGAAATGACCTACTTAGGGACTATCAAACGCTACTCTAAAATGGCCCAGGTAGTTATAAAGGTGGTTTTCAAGTTTGTCGGGAAACATCTTTGTGAGACATAGTCAATCAAGATGGAATTTGCCCTCTTCATGAGAGAGAGATATCCTTTGGACCACTCGAATGATTTGGATCAAGAAAATGCATGGCCGTGCTTGGGTTAATAGTTAACCCACGAGTTGGACCAAATATCGTGTGACAAAGGGAATAACATGTATGTGGTTTTGTGGTGGTTCATCTGATATGATCTTTACGTATGCATAGGAGTTGACACGCCTTGCTAGAGGCTGCTGCCAACTATTGGCCGAATAGGAGTATTCGGGCCATGTCTATGTGTGCGTGAACCCATAGGGTCGCACGCTTAAGAAATGGAAGCCTAATTCGGATTGGACCCAAATTAGACAAGGTTTAGGGTTGCTAATGGGCCTCCAACTTGGGAGCTCATTAGGACGCCTATATAAGCAATGGGAGGGTGACAGGGCTAGGTCAATCCACGCCATTTGGCGTGCCGCCGCCCCCCTTGCGCCTTCCGTTCCTCACGGACCTAGCGGTCCGGGGCGGCGCTTCCTTCCTCCTGTGCGTGTGGATACCTCGGAGGTGCTGCATCCGGAGCACAAGGACGAACCGCCACGAGAGGGACGGGCGGAAGGACGACCACGCAATCTGCTGCAGCCTTTGCTTTGCGGCGTGCGACTACACCGAGTCACTTCAGCTGCACTGCTTGGCGTCTAGTGGTAATCCCGTGATCCATAACTAGCGGTAGTTCCTGGTTTATGGGGTCGAAATTTTTGTTTTTCGGCTAGTGTAGCAACCTCATAACCCTTCAGTGGTATAAGAGACGTAGCTGCGTCGTTATGGATTCGGATGTATGCATATGGAGATATGCGCGGTTGTAGATGTCTTTCTGATCATGGTTCGTGATCTCGCTATGTTGGTCTTGTAATGATCTACTCGTACCGGTCGGAATTCCGCCATCCGAGTTAAGTGATACATGTAAACCCATTCATGCTGAGTTGGAGATCAATTAGATTGATCGAATCGAACCTAGGTCAAGAGCCGAGCGCATGTGATGCGCGGTGGTGGTAGATTGGATCTATTATCGGGCGCCGGGGTGCAAGAAAAAGTGCTGTTCGGTAAAACGGTCGTAACTTTTGCATACGACCTTGGATTGAGACGATTCTTAAACGAAAATTGTAGAGAAAAAAAATTTACATCCGATTCTCCCCGATGTTGTCGGGTTCGCTGAATTTATTTTTGCGAAAAAGGGCCGGGAAGATGGTGGTTTTGGCGTTTTAAGATTAGACGTCGGAATCGGTTAACTCTGTTTTGCAGGATTTCATGACTGGTATAGCCCTTATGTCTATGTGATGCATGTATGTAATTAATTCATGGCTTGCATGTGATGAGGATGACAATATGGGCTGGAGCCTCATAGATATTGTCAACATTATAGTAATGGCCTGCGTGCCAAACTGTGATGATCCTATCCGCGACTATGTAATTTTAGTTCACTGCCTTGCGTTAGTGATAGCTAGTCTTGGCGGACTCATCACTGAAGGATGGCATACATGGATCATGGAGATTAATGGAGATGGAGATCCCTAGAGGAACAATGGGCTATACCAAGTCATACAAGTCATATCTGTGTTAATGCCGTTCTTACTATGTTCTACTTTCACGTGCGATAATATTTTTGTCTACATGCGATAGTGAAGTAGAATGATCCCTCAGCAATGTTTAAGTTGAATTGCTCCCCCAAACCTTGCACCGTCTTTGGTCTTGTACAATCGGTGGTGGGTCTATGAAATTAGGGTGCCACTGATTTTCCTTGACTAGACAGGTTCGTATCGGATACTTACAGTAGAAAGGTTGGTTACTTGAACAAGGTCATCCTAACGGTTAGGGACCTTGGAGCATAAGGAGTTGGGCGCTATAGCATAGAGATGCTACCCAACAACAAGAGT